TGACCGAAATAATTTCATAGAAGATTAAAAAAAGTTTGGGAAAGAAAATGCCATTGTAATGCATTTTTTTTACAAGAAGACAATTATTTCAATCAAAAATTTTGATAAAAAAACATAATTAAATTAAAACAAAAATTACTTAATTAATTCGATCAAAATTTATGATTGAAATGCTTACTATTTCATTATTAATATAATTCGGATAAAATATTTGACCGAATTAATGGTGGCATCAATTGGCGCTCTTTTATTTTGATCAATATTTTTGACTGAAATAATTTTAGATTGAATTAATATGTTAAATATCTTTCAATCAGACTAAAGTATACTTGGGTCAAAATTTTTAATCGAATTAAGTTTTTTTCCGATCAAAATATTTTTTTATCCGAAATATTTTGTCCAAAATAAAGCTTTTTCTAGTAGTATTCTTTGGTTGAGTCTATTGATACGCGTTAGCATCGTTCCTGTATTTAGGGCAACTTGAGCAACTTCAGTTATTTCAGACAGAAGTATCCCAGCAGATTAACCTAGAAATCATCTCATTAGATAAATGGTTTTACCACAATATGGTGGTTTAAGGAGCACAAGCTAGTTTGTAGTTTCACATTTCTTTCTCCCAAAATCCCATGCTTGCTACTTATTATGTTAGATTACGCTGACAACTTTGGAACTAATCTTCAACATGAACGATTCTCATAGGTTGCAATGATCCAAAGTACTTGGTGTAAAATCCCAGACCAAAATACCAGAAGAGCCCAAGAACCAGTTTCATCACACATATGATAATCTAGTAAGTGAGACATGGGTGAACAGTCTGATGAGCTGCTAACCCCGTCAACCTCTAAGAGGAGAGCATTAAACGAATTTTTTTTTTCCCTTTTTTTTTTTTGGAGAAATAAGCAAATTCATCAAATGATCATAATGAAAATTCTATATTTACAACTGATTAGCCTACTGATCATGTACACCATTAAAATAGCCATTTCTTTACACTGACAACAGAATGTAATGAATCATTTACATTAGATGCAAATTTATGTTGAAAGACAGGAAGCTTCCATACTTCCAACTTCCACCCAAGAGTACAATCATAAGTTGCTCCAAAGCACTTGAAAATGAGAGAAGTGTACTCTTTTAAAATCTGGCACATCCATGGTCTTCTCAATAACTATTTAGGGCCTTGTGATGTACTCTAGGATTCTGAAAACTCCAATTTTGCCTCTTCACATTACTAAGCCATCCAAAATCGATCAGAGGCTGTCCTGACTGTAGCTTCACTAGGTGCCTTCTATATGGTATTAGTATATTTTTGAGACCTAGCATTAATAGAGACAGAACGTTAAAAACAAAAAGCAAGATAAAATCGTTGTCACCAATAGAACAGTACCACTTTGCCCACCCCACTCCATCCCCAGTTGAGAGAAGGATAAGTAATTGAAAGGGAGAAATAAGATCTCTAGTTTCTTCTGTTTTTCCATTTCATTGTTAAAAGAATACATAATGTATTAGTGAACAATGAATACTGGGCATACCTGTGATGCACATAGTTCTGTAAACATGAGCAACATAAGCATCTCCTTTTGTTCTCATATGTGGCCTCTCCAGGCACTCAAGAAATGCTAGGTCAGCCTTCAGAAGCTTTTCTTGATCATGAGTATCATAACCAATATCATGACAGTAGCAGCAAAAATCCAACCAATCAATTGGCCTCTTGTCCCAAACAAGAGATCCACCATCTTTCCCACTAGACCAATTAGGTCCACAGTAATGCCCGTAACGTGGAAAGAACTGAGAGAGGAAGGCTCTTGCACCAGTATGCCATGGAACCTTGGACACGTATGGCCTAAAACGCAAAGGGGTAAGCTCACTGCTAGGCTCAACAACCCTATCAGGCTTGGCATACCTTCTCAACTCTTTGTTTATGGTGGTTGGTGCTCGAATTTTATCTCTAGAGTTCATTGCCCACGGAATAACTGAAAATAAGGACCATCCCCATAGCCTGATGTCAAAATGAGCTTTCTGGTTTTGATTTTCCATAAAAGCACCCATGGATTCGAGAGTCGCTCCCAAATCTTTGTTAGAAGGTGAACTAAACCATGGGATGACAAGAATACGGAATACAAGAATTCATTATTAGCATAAGTAGGGTGTCACCATACTGTATAAGTTTGCCACCAAAAATCAGCAGTTCAATGTGCCTGTCATTAATACAGAATCTACATCAATAAATCTGACTCCTTTCACAAAATGACAAGTAAATATGGGCATTTCAGGTTAAAAAAATGGCTACTTTTCCAGTTTTATTTTCATTTGCTTTCAGCACCGATGAATTGCTAGGGCAAAAGATCAGATAATTCCCAGAAAGACCAAACTAAAACTAAACACCCCTAAAAAGAAAAGATTATACTTTGTCTTGTGTAAGTGATAAAATCAAATGTGGGAAAGTAAAATTTCTTAAAAACATCAACTTTCAATTAATCAAACGAAGCAGTACTACTCAACGATTTAATCCCTTGGTAACGATGCTTTTAATTTCTGCAACTGATTATGTTAGCAGCTCTAATATAGGGAAAAATAGGGAGCCACAATATCATATTTTTCACCAAAAAAAAAAAAATGGTAATAGATGATCACATCTTCCTCCGTTTCCTTCAATTTTCTCGGGAACCAAACAAAGTGGAAACTAAAATTTATGCGAAGAATCACATAAAGAAGCTGAAATTGAAAAGAAGTTACCAGAGCGTAACGCGAGGCCGCGTTTCAGCAGGGGGATTAAAGAATGTATGAATAGGAAGCTTTCTCAGGGAAGAAAAAGTTAATTGGAAGAGAAAATTTTATGTAGAAAGAGAAGGTCTCTCCTTCCTTCCTTCCTTCCTGTCGACAGTGGATCATGGGTGGAGTCGCACCTGTGTTATGATCTGGAAACGACAACGGGTAACGTTTGTAACTGGATACTCTTTTTCCATTTTTTGTTCCTTTTTACTTGTCTTC